CTTTCAAAATGTTTATAAATCTTTACTGTTCTTTTTACCTTTTGTTCTGGTTCTTGTTTTTTCACTTTGTGCTAATTTCAGCTTCTACTTTGCAGATTTTAGCTTTTTTTTTTTTCATTTTGTTAGCTATAATTTTGACATTTTCTGATATTCTTTTACTACTTTTTGTGCTTCTTTCTGCTTTTTTTCTGCTAATTAAAGCTGTTTTATAATTCTTTCAGCTGCTTTCTGTTCATTTCAGCTGTTTTCTGTGTTTTTAGCTACCTTTTTTAAGCTAATTTAAGCTTTTTTATCTTTCAGTGTTAATGAGTCACACTGCAGTTTTACAGAAAATGCAAATTCTGTAGTTGAATATAATTATTTATCACAGATGTAGTTTTTAGACCTGAATACTCATGGCTTTAGCCTCAGACACTTTCTACTCACACTGAACTTCTGCAGCTGACTGGAGGAAACCTACAGCAAATGTTTGAGACAGCAGTCAGCTCAGTGAGATTTAACCGTAACTAACCTGAAAGGTTTCAATTAAATTTGACTCTTTTATAGAATGTTATCAGTAGGAGTGATTGTTGTCATTTTATGACCAAACCCATTGATTTTAACCATTAATAATTAATATAAAATATAATTTACTGGCGCATACATTTTATTTGCCACCTGTGTTTGGGTCTGCTGACATAAAGTAAACTCGTTGTGAAAATAAAGGAGTCCATCAAACTTGATTTTTCTTGATCTCTGGATGTTTGGTGCAGATTTCAGCCTGCTGACGTGTGATTGCTGGTTGGAAACGTGTGATCTCTGTGTTTACTGGTGGAATATAACAGGTAGTCCTGGGAGACGTCTCACCTTGTTCAGTAGTCCTGATGTCAGCAACACCACGACGCTGCTTCTCAGTGAAGATGGAGGAATGCTGTACGTAGGAGCGCGGGATGCTGTGTTAGCCCTGGATGTTAGGCACAAGGACGTCATGTTCCTGAGGAGCAAGGTGAGCCGATTCATGGACTCTACAAATACTGTCAGCTGAAGAAAGAAACGAATCATTGTTCATCTCTCTTCAAAATGAGTTAAAAAACGAAGATGTTGATTTTGGTAAAATAAAAAAAAAGCATTATTGCTTTTTGTTTTTGAGAAAAGTGCAATTTTGTTTTGGTTTCAAACAGAAGCAAGTTGTGATGAATCAAAAATCATCCAAACCACAGAAAATGACAATAAAATGTAAAAGACACTCAGTTGTCTTCTGGGTGGGGTCACCTACAATACAGAAATTTATAGAGAAAAATATATTTCTATTCACACTAATTTCATCACCACTTTTCAAAAGTAGGTACAGCTCTGTGTTACCATCTGATTGATCTGTATTACTTCTTTTTTAACAACAAATTTAGAGATAAAGACGACCCGGTGCTGTAGGGTTAAAAGACAAATTTTTAACATTTTTGGTCAGTAAAGCATTTATGGTAGAATCTGGAGGAAGACCCTTTTTTTGTCTGTTCCTTCTTTTTTATATTGTATTTGCATTATAACTAAACAAAATACACTTACAGTTTAAAAGGAAAACTCTTGTCAAATAATCATAAGACGTAATTATGACAAACATTTTTATATTGTAACCTGCCCGTAACAATTATTAGAACAAATACAACATTCAGTCAACAGACCACCCAGGCTTATCAACACAAAAATATTTTTTAACATAAACAACAACAAAAAAAGAATTCAATAAATAAAATTGTGATCATAAAATAAATACATTCAAAAATATTTAATGTAAATGTTCCAAATAAAAAAAACTAAAAATAAATTTGATAAAGTGAAAATGAAAATAAAGCCTTTTTAAACTTTTGCATGGTAGAACCAGAAGCTGCTTTTCATATTAGTGACAAACAATAACAGTAACAAGAGCTTTTAGACAAAATGTTAAAAAATAAACTACAAAAATGAATTTGATAAAGTGCAAATTAAAATATAGTTGTATCTGCAACTGTATTTGATAATGTTTTGAACTTTTAAAATATTGCATGGTAAAAACAGAAGCTGCCCTTCATATTAGTGACAAATTTTGGCTTTTTTTTTTTTTGATGGATTACCTTCATTTTTGCTTCTACTTTTAATTTAAAATACGTTTCCATTCTTGGCAGGTTTCTAAGGTTCTTCTTCTACGTATTAAGAAAGTTGTTAAATGTCTGAGTGGTGCACTACCACTACTAGTGGTGAGAAAGTGTATTGCACCTTATTCAAAATCAATGCGGTCCCACGGCCCTCTGCGGTCCAAAGTTAAAAACTGTTGTTCTTTTGAGACCCTCAAGGTGGCGCTCCCATAGGTTAAGAAACTCTGCTTTTGATCACATTCATACACTGATGGGACACACATCAGAGGCAGTGGGTTCATGGTCTTGCCCACTTCAACGTGACTGGATAGTGGTGGAATCGAACCCCCAACTCTCTCATTGAAAGACGACTGGTCTAACCACTCAGCCACAGGCACCCAATACAAGCATACAATGAGTTTCCTCTGTAGGGTGATTGGGCTCAATCCAAGAGATGGGGAACCAATGATTCCTCACATCTAAAAAACCATGGAATGAACCACAGAGATGCAACAAAAATGGTTGAAACATTTCCCAGTTTGGAGGTAAGGTTGTGATGTTGAGATTAAAGTCAAGGTAATGTCTCTAGAATAAATTGCAAGTCTTTACATTGTAACAAAGTGTCATATCTTCAGTGTTGTCCCATGCAATGATATAACAAAGTATTTACAAAAATGCTGGTTGAAATGGGTGTGAAATTAAAAAAAGTTTTTTTTTCTGCTTGTTTTTAGTTGGATTGGAGTCCTTCAGAAAAAGACCTTGAACAATGTTCAATGAAGGGCAAGAAAAAGGCAAGTAGTTAAAATATATTATATAAAAATATATATAATATATATTTATATATAAAAATGGTTTTATTTACATTTTCTTTGACTACAGGAAGTGGAGATGTAATTTTGCACTGTGTATTCTTTACCAACTACCTAGTCATAGTGTCTGAAGTACAACCCTTTAAATAAACAGTGTTCTCTGTTGGCCTATTTCAGGACAAAATGGTCCAAGAATGGTTTCAGGAACACAACAAAATGTTTTTATGTTGCCTCCAAAATGTCCAGAGCAGACAGCAGGTTTAGTGGAGTTCATACTTTGACAGATCAGGGCTACTTTGGTGGCAAATAGAAATACTTTATATTGTATGGTTGGTTGGTCGTGACTTTATGACTGATCCTTGCTGTGTGTAACAAATATTCTAAAAATAATCTATTCACAAAACCATTAATGATGTAAATGAATTTTCCTGAATCAGGTAATCCTAACTTCTGTCTTTCAGGCTGACTGTCCCAATTTCATCCGTGTGCTCCAGTTCCTGAACACCAGCCACCTTTATACCTGTGGAACATTTGCTTTTAGTCCACGCTGCACCTACATTGTAAGTTTGTTTCTACAGGCCCTGTCTGCTCACTTTGAGACATTTCAATAAAAAAAAGGTAGAGTTCAGTTAGTTTCACAACATAAATACCAGGCACATTTGAGGCCAGGTTCCATCGGGTGTTGGACCTTCATGGTACGTTCAGACGTTCGTCTTCACAGTTCGGCATGTTTTTGCAGTCTGAACATCCACAGTCCTTGGCGTTTCACAAAGATGAGTACCAACCTGACAGTTTTCCACTTTTCTGTCCAGAACTCTGAAACGTTAGCAATGAGCCTCAACACTGATGAAGGAAGAGGTCGCTGCCCATATGATCCCTATCAGCGCAACACTGCTGTCATTGTGGGTAAGACAACTGATAACCTGACTGATATAGGGTTCATTAATAATTACCTAGTACTAAATATACTGTATATGTTACATATACAGTGGTACCATCACTTCTGCAACATGTGAAGCAAATTTACCTTTGCTGAGATTCAAACGCTGAAAATATACCAGTACTTTGTTTGGCGTTATTTTTTTATTGACTTTTTTTGTTGGGAAATTTTCATCAAGTCAATAGAATAAAAACTAGAATAGTTCCTGGAGAAACTATGAGAGGATTGCCAGCTGTGCAAAACTCGTCCTGTACATTTTGAACATGTTTGCTGTTTTAGAGGGTCTGACAGCAGTCCTAAAGATGTATTTGATGTCTGATTGAGATGTCAGCAACTTGTTTGCCTTTTTTCTTTCTATAGGTGTTACAAAATGACTGTTGTAACTCATTTTGTATGTATTTTGGCAAAATTTGTGCTTTGATTCATGAAATATTTTGCTAACAGACATTTTTCTACATTATTTCTGCCATTTGTAAGACTCGAATACTCTAAGAAGGTGGATCAGTTGTTGTAAAGCTCTTTAACACTTTGCTTCACACTTTAGAGTCATTCAGCATATGTAAAATGTGCTGATTTCCAGCAATTATGTGGTAATTGAGGGTTACTTGGACAGCCAGAGGACAGAGGACTGTCCAATGATGACTGTCTTAGAGATTTAAAACTTTAAAATCAGTGGTTTATGGGATACTTTAAAGAGCGTTCAGGTTTTAAAGGCTTTGAGGCCTACTCCATTCATTTCCACTGGCATTTGTAGGGTGTCTTTGTAGGCTTACTGCGTCGCCATGGTAACAATGAATGTACAGTTGAGGAAGAACACACTTCCCCTCACCGAGCCGGTCGTTTTGATGTATAACTTGTGTGGGTGCAGTCGTGTTGAAACAACCTCCATTCATTTGCATAGAAAAAAAGTAGCCAAAGTTCCTTCGGCTGCTATCTTGTTTTGGCTGTTTGTGCTCCAGTATGTGACTGGCTACCAGTAAACCAAGTTTCAGCTCAATATATCAAACAGAGGCTGAGCGAAAGCCATTTGAAAATAGCTATGGCGGCCATCTTGGATTTTTATTTCAGCTACTATTTGTGGTAGAGGTTACTGTCAGCTACTTGTGTATCAATTATTAGCTCAATATATTGAAAATCGGCTGAATTGGAGTAATTTGGACTTAGCTATGGCGGCCATCTTGGATTTTTATTTCGGCTACTATTTTTGGTAGAGGTCACTGTCAGCTACTTGTGTATGAATTTTAGCTCAATATATCAAAAATTGGCTAGATTACAGTAATTTGAAGTTAGCTATGGCAGCCATCTTGTATTTATTATTTCGGCTATTATTTCTGAAAGAGCTGACCTTTAGCTACTAGTGTACCAAATGTTAGCTAATTAGTTTGAAAACTGGCTGAATTAAATATGTTTGTATAAACCTATGATATGTATCTGCTACAGGTAAGACACTGCCTAACCTAAAGTTGGAGTGTAGACTGAGCTGCATATGGTTTTAAATGGCTGAATATGTTTTTTTTTATTTCAAAGTTAGCTTTAGCAATTAGCTTACACTTGTGAGAAGCATTCATATTGTGTGGAGTTAGCTGTCAGCTACCAAAGGAGTTTTATGGAGGTCTTTGTGTGTTTACTGTGTTACCATGTTAACAAATGAAACTTATGTAATGTCATGTGTGACCTTTAACCTACATTGACTTTAACTCTCTACAGCCTCAGCCAATCAGGAGGCTGGATTCCCAGCAGCAGCTCAGCTGCAGCTCCTCTGTCTGAAAACACAGAAATGATGTGTCCTTTCAAACAGCTGCTGTACAAAAAATATAAGGGCTATTGAAATAATTTTTGGACCGTGAGCACCAGAAGACTTTGGTCTTTACTGAAATAAAAATTCAAGCACGAACTTGGCATGATGGCTGAGATAACGCGAGTTAAAAAAGTAGTAAGTGTTAGATTTCTGAATCCGGTTTTGATCATTTTTTGAATGGCAGAGATAGGAGAAGGAACTTGGTTTTGCTGGCTTCTGAAGCATGTAGAGAGAAAACCAATTGTCTTAGAGCCAAACCAGCACATTTTCTGAAAGAAGACAAAAATTCCTACGTTTTGATGTGTAATTTGTCTTTGTAACGTGAAAATTGTGGCTGTAGTAGGAATTTGTTTGCAAACTTTCTTCTTTAAAATTACAGAGCTCACACTCTAAGGTCACATGACCTAGAGTGAGGCGCTTCCCATGTAATCCAATGGGGATTTTTAGATTAGTTTTTTGGGGATTACTTCGCCATGGTAACAGATTATGTAAAGATAAATAATAGCACACCTCGTGAGATCGACGCCGACACAATGATGTATTTTTCATGCGGCCCGACGCATTAATGGTGAAAGTTCTGGTATGAATAATAAATAAATAATAAAGAGTCCAGTTTAGAGGTGGATAATAATAGGTTACCATTGTTCATGGCAATCCTAATTAGAATCTAGAAAAGAAAAATGGGCTATATATGATTTTTTTTTCTCTTCTTTAACTAGGGTTGGCACCTTTAAAGTGATCCCTGATTGTAACATTAGACATTATTTGATAAACATTTACTTACAAAGACTGTAAAAATACTGTAGTATGTACCAAACTGTAGATTTTGCCACTCCTGATATTGTAGCACTTTCTCGGATGTTTTTTTTTTTTTTCTGTTTCTGCAACTTAAAGATGGCTTGTTTCTCCTGCATAGAGAGCTTCTTTGACTGCATGTTCACTTCACAGCAAAACCTTCCAAATGCAAGCAGCACACCTCAAATCAACTCCAGGCCTTTTACCTGTTTAATTGAGAAAGACATAATGAAGGGATTGCCCACACCTGTCCATGAAATAGCCTTGGAGAAAATTGTCCAATTACTTTTGGTCCCTTTAAAAACAGGGTGGCACATGTTAAGGAGCTGAAACTCCTAAACCCTTCATCCAGTTTTAATGTGGATACCCTCAAATGAAAGCTGAATGTCTGGACTTTATGTCCATGTACATTATATAACTATAACTTGAATATGTTTTCAGTAAACAGGTCAAAAACAAACCTTGTTTCAGTGTCCAAATAGATATGGACCTAACTGTATATTCTAATAATTCTGTTTGCTGTGTAGTGGAGCGTTATCTTTAAATATTGAGGTATTTGTTTGGTGTGTGTGTTTCGTAGATGGAGAACTGTACACTGCCACTGTGGCGGACTACCGAGGGAACCGGCCCATCATCTCCCGACACCTCAGTGAAAGCAGCCGAGTTGACCTTAAATTGGACGATACGTTAGGATGGCTTGAAGGTGAGGGTGTTACTGTATCTCTCTGCATTAAACACTTGAAATCAGTTAAAGGGAAAGTCTGGTGATGTTTGGTGTGATGGAGTCAGGACTTCAGTCACAGAGTGAAGAAAAGGGCAGACTTTTTGTCCAGGCTAAGCTAAAGGTTTATAAAGTGAGTATGTTGCGCAACAACATCCGTTATGGTAGCAGCTCATCTGAGTAGAAGAACAGTGCGCATCCTTTAAAAAAAACTAGACAAAGAAAAGGAGCACAAGGTTGTCTTGTCCCCACCAACAAGGAGCTGTCCTGTGATGGAATCCATTTATTGTGTTTGGACCGGGCTGATCCTTGTCCTGATAAAGGTTTGGTTCGCCGTATAAAACCTTACCAATGTTGTCCACCGTGCCCAGATAAAAAAACAGGGCTTGAATGTGTTTTGTTTCATTAAATATGAGGACTCAAATGTAAAATAAACCAAACTTTTATTAACAAACAGAACAACAAGAGGCAAGACAGAGAAAAGCTGCAGCAAAAGAGATAGGGAGAATGAAAACACAAGTGTTAAATAAGATGATCTGCAATAGGAAATAAATGTCATACAACCCAGAATTCTGGAGTGAGTGAGGTTTATTTTGCCACCGGCTGACAAGTCAAAACCACACTGAATGAAAAACAGGAAGTTCCCGTTTAAATACTGTACACGATTCTTCAATGCCTGAGTTCGCCCCCTGCTGGCCTACGGCTAAATCACAGGCATTCAGACAAAGACCTCACACTAATGTTAACACAGCTTTTTAATTATGTGTTGTGTATGAATTCGGACATGTAGCTACTCTATTTCAATTAACACAGATCAAACATTATAAAAATGCTATAAAAAGAAACCCCTAATACTCTGGTGTTGTTTCATATATCAGTACTAATCTATAATAACTATAAGTTTCTTCAACAGGATGAATAAAAACATGTTTTATTACTATTAGGAGATGCCAGCAGTGTGGAGAGATACACTCCTGCTGTTACATTTGATTTTATTGTTTAAATATGGATAAAAAATGGAAAAATAAATGAAACAGTAACTGTCCCAATCTCTTCATTTTATCTATAGCATTCAAATATTTTTATCTCTGAGCTGGAAATGTCCCCAGATTTAATGTCAGAAATCTGGTCCCCCTAAGCTAGGTGGCTGTTTATTGTTTTTCAGATGTAAAAAGCAAAACATGTTGAAGTGGAAGAAGGAGACACAAGCGAATATTAAAGGGGATCTATTATGCAAAATTCACTTTTTAAAGGTTTTTTTTACTCAACTTTGGGTATGTACTTCTTCAAAAAACAGTCCTAGGACCAAAAAAATGCACCCAGGGGCATATTTACTGTAAGTAAATGTATTTTTAATGTATATTAACAACAAGTTTTATACTTCCATCATTTTGTGATGTCACAAGCCATACGACAACCCACCTGAACCTGTGTTCAGCCCCTTACCTAGCAACCCCCGGGTGAGACTCCTCCTCCTCAGTATAAAAAGCTGTCACTGTGTTGTTGTGTAATGTGTAGCTCATTTCACAACAAGCCTCCAATAGGACAATGGGTAGAGTGTTGGAACAGAGAGTGGGAGACCAGGGTTTGAGACCGGCATGGACACATTTTAATTATTTATTTTCATTCGTTATGAACACATTTTCTCATGTACCTCTATTGTTTAGCTTATTAAAGTCTTGTTAAAGCCTATTTGTTTGAGTTTCTGAGGTATTTTCACCGCTGCTGCTCCCTGCTCTGGTAACAGCATGCAGAGTGAGTGCAGAGCAGAGGAGGGGGAGAAAAAAAAGAAGCTGTGACCGACTCTGCCTCTGGGTCTCATATGGTTGTACAACGGAGCTTCTGCTATTATTAGCCAAGCTAACGTAAATGCTGGCTTTGGAGGGCGGAGCTAATGTCAACAGATTTTTGGAGGGCGTTACTAACAGAGCTCATTAACATAAACAGCTCTTCTGAACGGAAGTCAGAGCAGGCAGAACTAGAAAATGGGAAATTTTATTATCTGACAATTATTTTGTGCATTAAATTGAATGAACATGGTCTGGATAGCCCACAGACATACCATAAACATTTCTAGGACCCATAATTGGTCTCCTTTAAATCTCTTTATTTTTGCATGACAGCTTTTGTTTGTAGATTGTTTTTAAACAAACAACAACCGTCTTACTATGTGAATGTTGGTCACCTGAAGCTACTAACTTACAGCCCACTGGGAGTACAGTAACCATTTGGACTGACCAGATGATCTGATATATTCAGCAGCCTCAGCATATAAACTTATGTTCTGAACACACATGCTTATAAAGTGTTGGTATATTTAGTAATCCTGCAAAAGTCCCTGTTTTTTCCTCAAAGCTTTTACTTCAGCACATGCTTTGTTTTTTCATTTTCCTGCAGATCCGACCTTCATTAGCTCCACCTTCATTCCTCATGAGGAAAAAATCTACTTTTTCTTTAGTGAAGTGGCCAGAGAGTATAACTTCATAGACAAGTTTATTGTGTCCCGTGTTTCTCAGATCTGCATAGTAAGTGTTTATAAGTATTCATCACATTTTTTGTATGTAAATTTTCCCTTTGGTACAACTAATACACACCAGGCCTTCATAGTGAGTACTGCTGATGCCTGTGGACTGCAGAGTTAGCTGTGCTATTCAATTCTTCCTCCTTTTCAGAGTGATGTTGGAGGTCAGCGCACTCTGCAGCGACGATGGACCACGTTCGCCAAAGCTCAGCTGTTGTGCCAGGCTGGCAGCGAGCTGCCTTATAACGTGATCCAGGACGTAGACATACTCCCACCAGCAGAGGGAGCTCCTGCAGATGACACACTTTTTTACGGCATCTTCACCTCCCAGTGGTCAGTATTGTTTACATTAGAACTGGAGGCCAGATTAATGCCATCCAGAGGAGGTGAAAGGCTGCAAAGTTGATCCCTAAGATGTTCAGGTCCAAAAACCATAACCTCTGTCTTATCTGATTTTAGAAGCAGAAAGTTAAGAGTCATCCATGTTTTTATGTCTTGAAACAGATTGGTGTGTGTTACAGGCAGTGACGTGTATCATGACGTTAATATTTGTTTTCCTGTTACCAGGGCTGTGAACTCTGGAAGGTCAGCAGTGTGCTCATTTCGTCTGGCAGACATCAAGTCAGTTTTCTCTGGTAACTACAAGGTTCTGAACAGAGACACCTTACAGTGGAGCGCACGAGTTCAAGAGAAGGTCGCAAATCCAGGAGAGGTGAGCAGTGACAAATAAAGAAAACTGGTACTACACCTTTCATTTGGTACGCAAAGGAAGCATGGTTATGATATGCATATAAATAAACTACCTTTAAGTTAGCGGTGTCCCGATACCAGAATTTTTACAAGTACTTGTACAAAATGCCCCAATACTCAGGACTAATACACATATCAATACTGAGATTCTAAAATTGACACCCCATTTATTGTTTTACAGTTTACATTTCAAAGGAAAAATTTGTCAATTCCACGATTTAGAAAGTTATACAATCTTAATTCATCCGTTTTCTTCCTCTTATTCGGGGTCGGGTCTCGGGGGCAGCAGCCTAAGCAGAGAGACCCAGACTTCCCTCTCCCCAGCCACTTGGTCCAGCTCATCCGGGGGAATCCCAAGGTGTTCCCAGGCCAGCTGAGAAACATAGTCCCTCCAGCGTGTCCTGGGTCTTCCTCTAGGCCTCCTCCTGGTGTGACGTGTACAGAACACCTCACCAGGGAGGCGTCCAGGAGGCATCCTAATGAGATGAACCACCTCAATTGGCTCCTCTCCACGTGGAGGAGCAGCGGCTCTACTCTGAGTCCCTCCTGGATGACTGAGCTTCTCACCCTATCTCTAAGGGAGAGCCCAGACACCCTGCAGAGGAAACTCATTTCAGCCACTTGTATCCATGATCTCATTCTTTCTTCGGTCACTACCCAAAGCTCGTGACCATAGATGAGGGTAGGAACGTAGACCGACCGGTAAACTGAGAGCCTTCTGGCTCAGCTCACTGTTCACCACGACAGACCGGTACAACGCCTGCATCACTGCAGATGCAGCACCAATCCACCTGTCGGTCTCCTGCTCCATTCTTCCCTCATTCGTGAACAAGACCCTGAGATACTTAAACTCCTCCACTTGGGGCAGGACCTCCTCCCCAACCCGGTGAAGGCACCTTACCCTTTTCTGGCTCAAGACCATGGTCTCAGATTTGGAGGCACTGATCCTCATCCCGGCTGCTTCACACTCGGCTGTGAACCACTCCAGTGAGAGCTGGAGTTCAGGATCTAATGAAGCCAATAGGACCACATCATCCGCAAAAAGCAGAGACGTGATCCTAAGGTCACCAAAACGGATCCCCTCAACACCTTGGCTGCGCCTAGAAATTCTCTCCATAAAAGTTATGAACAGAATTGGTGACAAAGGGCAGCCTTGGTGGAGTCCAACCCTCACCGGAAACGAGTCCGACTTACTGCCAGCAATGCGGACCAAGCTCTGGCACCAGTCATACAGGGACCTAACAGCCCGTATCAATGGGCCTGGTACCCCATACTCCTGGAGTACACCCCACAGGAGTCCCCGAGGGACACGGTCAAACGCCTTCTCCAAGTCCACAAAACACATGTAGACTGGTTGGGCGAACTCCCTCCAGGACCCTGCTGAGGGTGTAGAGCTGGTCCGCTGTTCCAGGACCAGGACCAAAACCACACTGTTCTTCCTGAATCTGAGATTCGACTATCTGACAGACCCTCCTCTCCAGAACCCCTGAATAGACCTTACCATAAAAATAACAATTAAGATTTTTCCTTGGTACGGCCTAAGGAAAATCTTAATTGTTATTTTTTGTTTATTTTAAAATGTTGCAAGAGTATATATCATTGCTGTATATTTGATTTGATCCAGTCAGAGAGGCCTTTAAAGAAGGAGAGCCACATTGTTCTAAAAAAAATAGTTTTTTAAAGTCATTATGTAATGTTTAAGTTCTCACTCAGTAAGTACACGGTATTGGCAAGTACCCAAACTGAAGTACTTGTACTTTGTTTGAGAAAACACCCCTACTTTAAATCTCTAAATATTTTGAATTTCCTGTTTTAACAGATATTTAAAAAATTAAATTTAGAAACTGGACCAGATCATTTTTATTGTTCTGATATCTAAAACTTGGAGGGTGTCTTTCTTTTATTTTAACTTGCATGTTTTAATGCTCCTGCAGAGTCAGCTGTGTTAAATGCGAAGTTAATGTTTTATTATCTAAAAGTGTTTAAAGTGATGTAAATCCAGTTTAATTTGTATTTATGTTGAACTTTTTTTCTTTTTTTTTTGCGGTAGTGCGGCCTGCACAATGCATCAGACAACGCCCTGCGCTTTGTCAAAGAGAACTTCCTGGCAGAAGACAGCGTGCGCCCGGTGGGTAAACGTCTGACCATGGTGTCTGCTGAGCACACCTACAGCCACCTGACAGTCCAGAGGGTTCAGGGGGCCAACAGAAGGCTCTACACAGTCCTGTTTCTGCTCACAGGTGGGTCAGGAGCACTACTAAACACGAGCACACTGGGATCGTATTTATGATTTGATAATATTTTTGTCCATGCCTGTGTTTGGACAAACATTTCAGAATGTGGGATGAGCTTTGTGATTGTTAATTTCTCTTGACTTCTCTTTAGTTCATTTTGTAAAAAGTTTCATACTGCTTTAATAGTCACAGAGCTGTTTCACACTGATATGTGTCCGTTCCTGCCTTACAGAGGCTGGTTTCTTACACAAAGCAGTGCTGCTGCCACTCGGAGCCCACATCATCGAGGAAGTTCAGGTTTTTGAGCCGCCTCAGCCCGTCAAGAGCCTCAAACTCTCTGTTCCCAAGGTACACGTTTTTACACTCCATTTATTTATTTAAGATTTTTTTTTCTCACTCCTGTTCCATTTAATTAATCATTTTCCTACAGCTAGAATAATTCCTAATCGTGTAGAAAGGAGAATCACACACGATGGACACGTTTGCATCTATCCTACATATTTAAATGGAGGCGTGTCAGGAGAGCTGTCTCGTTCAGTCCCACGTTCGTTGAATGAAAGGAGTGCAGAAACAAGCCAACTCTTTGTTTGATACATCCAAATATTTTTGTGCGTACTTACTTTTCAACTTTCACACATACGCCAACTCACTCTTTGATACATGAGGCCTCTGATCGCAGGAACAAGCAGCCAAAATGAGCTTCCTTCATAAGGTGGTTAGGCTCAGCGTTAAAGGTGAGGTGAGGGGTCTTGTCATTCAGGGGGGAGCTTGGTGTAGTACTTTGCATCAATAGAGGTCCATTGATGTGGTTCAAACATCTGATTAGGATGCCTCCTGGAAACCAGGAGTTTCTGTCAGGCCAAGTTGAGAGAGCTAGGAATGTGACCTCGACTTTTGTTTAGTACAGGCAGAATGAATAGTTTAGTCTAGAGTACTGCCATAGGTCTGTAAAAACATCTTGCACCTGCATAGCAAAACAGTTTAAAACCTTGACGGGATTAACATTGAATGAATATGAACTAACGTTCAATTAAATATAAGACAATTATTTAAACTGAAATAAATCTTAAAATATTTGTCTATGATTCAAATACAAATATTTTTGTATATAGATTTCATGAAAAAACATAGTGAACTCATAATCATGATCAATTTAGTTAAATTGAAAAATAAATCAGAAAAACACATAATCACCTTTACTGTAAAATAATAGTTGATTAAACAACATTTTGTGTAAAACAAATAAAGAAACATTTGGAACAAAGTTCTTTTTGTGTGTTTTTTTACTTTTTTCCAAGTATAATGCAAGAAGATGGATTGTCGTTCTTTTCATTATGTAACTTTGATTTATAAAATGATAATAGCTTGTAGTTAAAAGGAAGTATAAATCAAAAATTTAAAGAACATTATTATTTTGTTTATTAAAGAAAATAAAATGTCTCTTTTGAGAAAGGTTTGAGACCAGGGTCAAAGACAGGTGAAAATATCCATTCCCCCTCGGGGTGACCCTTACACTCCCTTTAGAGGTTTTCCAAGCCCCACTTGTAAGAGGTCCTGGAGAAGACCCAGAAATTATTGGCCTGAGAACGTCTCAGGGGTGCCCCAGGATCACCTGGAAAGTGTCGTTGAGGAAAGAGATGTCTGTGTTTCTCTCTCCTGGAACTGTTGCATCCATGACCTGATTACAGGGATGGATGGATGGATGGATGGATGGATGGATGGATGGATGGATGGATGGATGGATGGATGGATGGATGGATGGATGGATGGATGGATGGATGGATGGATGGATGGATGGATGGATGGATGGATGGATGGATGGATGGATGATAATTCAGATTAAGATTTGCTTTATTATCATTCAAACATAACATCAAAGATGCAATGTAGAACGAAATGCATTTAAGAACACCCATTCAAGAAAAACACACAACAAAACATGGGGGAACAGGTGAACAGGTCATGTGCAACAGGGTCGCGCTACCTTTTGCAACTTGGAAATACATAATAGGAGAGATGGTTTAAAAAATTGCTCTGATCCTATGTTTACATCATAAAAACAGAGTCATATGCACAAAAAACCACTCGCGGCAGAGCAGAAAGCTGGGGGGCCTTGGGTATGATAACACATGAGATGGGGCGGGATTCAGTGGAGCCGATGAAAATGAGGTTGGTTCTCCTTGCTGGAACCCAATCCTAGACCCGCCAGAGTCCAGAGACCGTGATCTTATTGTCTCGTGCTCAGTTCACCAGAGTTCAGAGTTTCCCCCTCCTCATCGGCCTCGGGATCTAACCTGGGTGACGCGGGGGAGGGAGGGGGAATCAAGCCCTTGTTGACGTATCAGCCTGGGGAGTTTAGATAGCATGGCATTCGAGGCCAAGCTGCTGGGAGCCACTTGATAAACACAATTGTTTTGGGACAAGCAGCCTTGGATTTCTTGCTGCTATTCAGTGTCTTACTGCATCTCTGAAAATGGCAAAAAAATTCCAATCTTCCGAATTCCGGGGTCCTTCTCACCTCTTCACCATCTGAAGCTTCACCCAGATGTGATTCTACATGCCAGAGGCACGCTGCTGATCTGCAATTCTTGTCAGAATCACATCCAGTTTGTGACTTATCTACCCCAGCATCTGAGTCTGTGTGCTCCCAGAACGGCAAATTCCATCCGCTGTCCCCAACAGTTTCTCAGTGACCCAGACTGCTGTCATTATTGCTTTCACGTTCCGACAAATCAGGACTCCGCCTCCTCCGATCAGCAGAAATCCAGTTACCATAAATCCAAATATATACAAACCTTCCACATCTTCAGTGGAAAGTGGTGCGATACACATCAGGTTCCAACTGCCCCAAGAACCACTGATAAGACCAGCAGCAACCATTCCACTCGGACAGCTACGTTCCCATCGTTCCAATCTTAATGTTGAAAAAATAGTGTCAATTGTGTTCAGAGACCAGTTGACCAAATCCATGGTTCCTTTTTGTTTGGGATGGTAGGTAGAAAAAAGGCTTGAAAAAGCTGCAAAGCAGGGTAGGAGGGGCAGGTTCAGCAGAGAGCAAAAAAGCATCTGGCGCCTCTGAAGGCTAAGCAAAGAAAAACATGAATGTATGGATGGATGATGGAAGAATGATGTATGGATGGATGATGGATAGATGGATTGATGGATGAATGTATGTATGTATGTATGTATGTATGTATGTATGTATGTATGTATGTATGTATGTATGTAT